AGAGAATGTCAAGGCAGACAGAAGTAATGAAAATGTTTTAGCAATAGCAAAAATTTAATTAGTGGCCTTTATGCTAAAATGGATAGTTCACAATTTTTAAGACCTGTAAATTTGAGGCAGTAAAAAAAAAAACTAATCAGATACAATTTAGCTGATTATGAATGACTAAGAACAGAAGAGCCCCAAAGGCATGAGAATACTGTGCAGTGATGGCATTTCCAGGTTACAGGTGTCTCTGCTGCCCGTTCCTTCTCTGGTGAACAAATCATTGCTTCCGAAAAGAAAAGGCCTATGTGGTACAATTTAGTTTCTGATGATGTCTTATTTTTTCTGGGAGAACTTAAAAGTGGCTTGTAGCACAAAAGTTCTATAGGAATAGAGGCAACATAAACAACAGGGACAGGTGGACAACACGAGACACCTTGGCCTAAGTGAAATATAATTCTGTCCTGAGAAGAAAGCCCTTTCTTAACAACACAGTCCAAAAGCTATTGGGCAGGGCCAGGCAACAAAGAAAAAGTACATGACAGATAAGAAGGGAAGGAAAGGAAAATACAGCAGATAAGGTGGTGTCAGCTACCACACACTGAGATAATAGCTAAGTAAACAATGCAAAGATGAAAGTTAGATCTGAAATTACAGAGATTACAAAAATGAAAAAAGAGAAAACTAGGCTGAATTTAATGATAATACAGTAGAATTAGAGCTGTCAGATTAGGCCCTAAATACACACAAAAGAATATAGAAGTAAACATAAAAGATGTGTGTCTGTCCCTATCTGCCACAGCTGGAAGCAATAATAACAAGTTATCACTAATGAAGTAATTAAAATTGCCCTAATACATTAAACATACCTAATAACCAGATCTTGCTTTCTAAATACTTTTCTCCACAAAAACATGGAAAATGTTTATTCTAGAGCTACTATAGGAAAATATAAGATGACTCTAAGAATGTCTTATTGTCCTTGAAATTTGTTTAAAAGAACTAAAAATGAAAGTGTTCACAGAACAACTGAGACGTTTCAAAAGAATACACACACAAATTAAAAGGGCTAAATGTGGGGGTAATTCAAGCACCAAAACAATGAAAATAACCCACTGAAATTCTCACACATGCTAAAAAACAAATCTGGCAAGCAAGACTCCCTGACATATAGTCAATATCTGAAGCAGGATGTATATATTGAATAACACATCCATTCAGTCTCAAAATAACTCTCAACAAAATACCTATTAATTAGCAGGAGGAAAGAATAACCATACAGTAGAGCTATCTGACGTCCACAATCTTAAAGAAGTGATGCTATCACTATAAGAAGACTAAAAAAAATTTGTGTACCACCTGTTAGGACACTTGAGAAGAACACAGTATCACTTTGAAGGATTTCTGAGAAACACTGCCTTTAAAAAAATATGAAGGTCACAAAAGTCAAGCAAATATTGAATGATTTCCAAATAGATTTTAAAAACAGAAAAGCAAAATGTGTAATGTGATTATTTTAGGGGGAAAGGAGGTATAGGATGTCTCTGTACCTTTGGAGTCTGTCCTGGAATTTGCTCTATAGAGCTGGCCACAAACTCACTGAGATCCACCTGCCTCTGCGCCCAAGTGCTGTGATTAAAGGCAAGTGCCACACTGCCCAGCATATAACGTGAATCTATCATGAAATTTTTCTATAATGAGAAATATCAGGCAACTAGCAAATCCAAAGTGAAGTGTAATGGTTGAACAGGGCTACCATCAATGTTAACTTCCTGATCTGAGGGTTGTACTGTGTGTGTATGTTGTTGGTTAAGAAAATGTACTTGATTATAGGCAAAAGTCATAAAACATTCACAAGCATTTGCAGGACCCACAGAAAAGTGACTGATGATTCAAGATGGACATTGCTACAACAGTCCTGTTTCATGGAAGAGTCTGCCAGACAGTCTGCAGGACACAGAGAAAAGTGACTGACAAACTGCCAATACAAGAAGACAGTTGTAAAGTTTCCTGCTTTGCTGAAGAGTCTGCCAGACACACTATGGCCTATGGGCTGAAGATGGAAGATTACAAAAGAACTTCGGGTGACTAGGCAGTGAGTTGTCTCTGTCATTTCTAGAGTTTATATATTATCTTTCTGTGGTCTTTGATGGAGTTGAAGACAGATAGTTATGGTTATAGTTCATTAGTTAGGATTAAAGATACGTTACTTAGACTTTAGACACACAAAGATAGAATAGATGATGGAATATTTTCTTCAAATCTTGCTAAATGTTAATGGACTAAATAGTGTTAACTGTGATTCTTATTTGATAAGTGTTATGTGATATATTTTGCTATGTTAAGGTTAAAACCCTTCTTTTTATTTTAGACAATAGAGAGGAGATGATGGGAGATGTCATTCTGTATATGTTTCTCATACTGGTTAATAAATAAAGCACTGTTGGCCAATAGGAAAGGAAGATAGGAGGGACTAGGAGACAAGGAGGAAATAGGAAGTACTGGAGAGAGCAGTATGCAGCAGCCGGCTCCCGGTAAGAAGACCACGTGGAAATACATAGATTAACACAAATGGGTTAATACTTAAGACAGAGCTAGCCGATAAGAAAGTAGTAACTGTCCAACAGTATGATATCTAATACAGAGTCTCTGTGTGTTATTTGGGGCTGGGGCTGGCGCGGCGGCAGGACAAGACCGGTCGGCGAGCTGAAAAAACCATATTCCTTACAAGCATTCATAGGAGGCAACAAGTATTAGTTCACCCAATTTAGATATGAAACATTTTTTTTTTCCTATCCATGAAGAAAAACAACATAAAGGCCACATTTTCTTCCTTCAGATATCCTCAATCCACTATTAGGATTCTGTTATGGTTTAATCTTCAATGTATCTTAAAGGCCATGTGTTGAAGGCTTGGTCATCATGCCACTGGGAAACAGAAGAACCTTTAGAAGGAAGTTGGGTTATTGTAAGGCATGTCCTTGAACTGGCTATTGGGAATCTATCATCTTCTTTTCTCTCCTTCCTGGCCACTTTCTAGACATACCCTCACACAATACAGGGGCAAGTAACCATAGACTGATATCTAACACCATGAATTAAAATAAACCTTTTCTTCCTTTTTATTATCTGAAGTGTTTTATCACAGCAACAGAAATCTGACTAGTATAGACAGATTCCTTGAACATATTTCTATTAGTGATTTTAGACAAGCTGTTATGGTCCACACACAAAAATTTCAGAGAAAGCTGACACATGCAATGCTAATTAAAGGCACAAGTTACTTACCAAGTTTAATGATGAGCAAAAGTGAGAGAATGAGAGAGGTAGTGAAACAACACCAGCATGAGAATGAAACTCTGACTATGCACACACAGTGAAAGCAAAAGTTGTCACCATCTCTAATATACCTTCTTGAAACTAACTTTAATACTATTAGAATGTTTAGAGTTCCATAAATTTTACCTAAACTAGTCCTATACAATTCTTCATTCTTAGTCTTCTATGTGGGAACAGAATGTCCCCTGTGCTGGCTCACAGAGGTCTTTAGAAATATTAGCTTCATCTCCTGACCCACACAGTGAACAACACACAGTGTTCATGCCAGCATGGAAGAAGTTGTTTGTTGAAGAGAAGAGCTCCTAAATAATGATTCCTACAAGTCAACAGCAAAATCATAAAACAGTAATTCACAGCTCCTCACAACAACTGCACTTCCCAAACAAAGAAATACAGACACACTTCTGTCTTTTCCAGGGGCATTGATGCCCTTGTATGACCTCTGTGGGCACTAGGTACGCATGTGGTGCTCATGCATAGATTTAGGGAAAACATATTTACACAAACAATTTTTTAAATCTTAAAAAATAAAGAGGGGAGGGGAAGAGAGGAGTGGAAGAAAAAAAAGGAAACATTAATTCTATGGAAACATCTGTCTCTCAGAGAAAAAGAGTACAGGAACTTAGTTCTTATTTTCATATCAGAATAACTCATCCTTGCTCTGAGCAGACAAACTATATTGTTCCTTAGCAAAGAACACAACTGACTGCATTCGTTAGATAAGGAAGGATAAACTACTAAGACACTACAGCCCCAGCGATTTTCTAGAGGTTCATAGTCTGTTCACATATGCCTCTTTTGTCATTTTACCCGTGTTATACAGAATCTGAACTGCATGCTTAAATCTGCATCAGGTAAACTATTTTACCAACAACAAACAATCTCAGAATTCCAGGGAATGAAAATCCCAGTGAGCAAGACAACAAAGACAGAGCCAAATAATCTGCAACTTCCTTTTCTTGAAGACCTTCAGATTCCAGTCTATACAAAGTACAGCCAGCTCTAGTTCCTGATGTTCTCAATATTCATCACACAACATGCTTGCTGATTAGGAGTTTTTAACTGCATACTTCTGGTCTAAACATCAGTACAAGAACATTCTATTTGAATAGTTTCTCTGTCTTCTGTGGAATCATAGTTGAAAGCAAAACCTACTATGCCACATAGCAGCAAAACCAACCCATAGATTATCTTTTTTCATTAAGTACAATGCCAAGAAAATCTCTCTGTAAACAACATGCATGCTTTCTTTCCACAAACAATAATGAGTACTATGCAATGCCATGCTATAGAGGGAAGGGAATGTTTCCCTTTTAACCTAACACGCAAAAAGCTGAAAGCCAAATATAAAAGTTATAATTAGCTTCTATCGGGAGCCTAGTACCTTCTGCTCCCTAGGCTCTTCTTAAATTGTTTCTTGTACCCTTGTTTCTTATATGTGGTCAAATGTGTTTAAAGGTGGCTAGAGTATGTATAAACATGCATTTTTTCTTTCTTTTACAATTTCTATGACCTATACTTTTTGGCAGAATTCTATAGTCAATTTAGAAGGCTAATGTAATAAATATCGAGTAGTTTACAGCACTAACTACCCTGGCCTATCCCCTCCCCCCCCCCCCACTTACTGGGTAGCCCTACAAGGAAATCAAGCCCACCCTGCCATTCCACCACATCACCTTTGCAGTAATCTGCGGGGTCCTCCTGCTCCTCATCATCTGATCCCAGAATCTCCTCTTCTGGCTCTGGGGGCACTGGGTCTGGCAGCGGCGGCGGTGGTGGTGGTGGTGGTGGTGGTGGTGGAGGAGGAGGAGGAACTAAAGGAGCTTTCTGTTGAGGCTCCGGCCTGAAACAGCAGGAAAAGATATTTACAAAAAAGCCAATCATGCATTATGGGCAAATTTGAGTTTCTTAGTGTGAGGGAAAACAGAAATTGTCACACATTAAGAAGAAATTCCAGTTAAAGTCATTCCACTCCTTTTAGTTGAATTCAAACAGTGCTTTATTACACGGGCTGGGGAAGGGTGGCAACCTTCTCCTTTATTAAGAGTATTTTTTACAAACATCTTTTCATTCAGAGATTCATTATTTTTTTCAGACAATACTGTAAATTTTATTCTAATGAAAGAGTACCCTATCTTACAAAGCACAACTTAGTAAATTAGAAAACATACTGTGGAGATTACTAAAAAGCTAAGTACATGCAGCCATCAGCTTATAAAGGATTTAGCTTTCTCTTTAAAAGCAATCAGAATTAGGTAGATGGTGGTGGCACAAGAGCACTAGGGAGGCAGAGGCAGAGGCAGACAGATCTCTTGAATTTGAAGCCAGCCTTGTCTATGAGCGAATTCCAGGACAGTCAGTGTTACATGGGGAAACCCTGTCTCAAAAAAACAAAACAAAGGAGGCTGGAGAGATGGCTCAGCTATTAAGAGCAATAGCTCTTCTTCCAGGGGTCCTGGTTCAGTTCCCATCACCCACATGGCAGCTCACAGCTGTCTGTAACTCCAGTTCCAGGACTTTGACACCTTCATATCAATGCACAAAAAATTTAAAGAAATTAGCTGGGTGTTAATAGCGCAGACCTTTAATCCCAGCACTCTGGGAGGCAGAGGCAGGCATATATCTGTGAGTTCGAGACCAGCCTGGTCTACAAGAGCTAGTTCTAAGACAGGCTCCAAAGCCACAGAGAAACCCTGTCTCCAAAGAGAGAAATTATTTAAAACAAAGAAGAAAAAAACAAACAAACAAAAACACTGACCCACCCCCCAAAAAAGGAATTCTTTTCCTTGCCAGATATAATCAGAATAAGGTTACATTCTAAGATAAAAGAGTTACATTTATTTTAAAATTTAACCTTGCTTATCACAGCTACTCTTAAAAAAAAACAGAAAAGGAAAAACACTGCTTTCAAATAATATGTATATTATTTGTCTATACTATAGTATATAGCCTATATACTATATAAATGATTTGCAATGGTAATTTCTAGTTGTTTCCAATAGATTAGTGATGTTTAATATATGTTTACAAAACACAGAAGTATTCAGAATATTAAGCAAAAGGTTGGAGGGCTCACATAAAACCTTGAGTTAACAAGAAAAGCACACATTAATACTGATTTTACTTACTTAAAATTCAAATGAGAATGAAGGCGAGGTTGTAATGACTTCACTAAACCAAAGATAAATGATAAATGGGTGTTTATTGGGGAACAATTACACAGAAAAATACAAAGAAACACAGAAGTGTTTCCCTACCTTCCTACCGGATGGGCTAACCCACCAGAAAGACCAAGGGAAGGAAAGCCACTTCTCAAGCTTCCCTCCTTCCCCCGAAGCCACACTCAAAGGGGTGTGGCCACCTTTACAGGTTCATAGACCAGATGCCTACAATTCCTGTTTTAATCTAAAGAAGAACTATAAACAATTATAACAAATTGTCAAGTATATTTCAGGAAAAGGAAAGGTACATATACACAAATTAAAACCTACTATCAGCAAGAACAACAACTGAGCAATAGATATATACTATAGAGATTCTATAAAATAAAGGATGAGTTGGGTGATAGTAGTGCCCACCTTCTATCACTCTCAGCAAGAACAACAACTGAGCAATAGATATATACTATAGAGATTCTATAAACTAAAGGATGAGTTGGGTGATAGTAGTGCCCACCTTTAATCCCAGCATTTGAGAGGCAGAGGCAGGTGGATCTCTGTGAGTTCCAGGCCAGCCTGGTCTACAAGAGCAAGTCAAGGTTGCTCTTGACTCCAGGGCAGTCAAGGTTACTCAAACAAAACAACAACAAAAAGTATAAACTTACATAAAAGTTAATTACTATTTCTAAGCACATCCCAATTTAAAAAAAAAAAAAAGCACAATACTCAATTTGGATGACAAAGCCCACCTGGCTGTTAAGCTATCTTCTTAATGGAACTATTATTGTTTTCCCTGTAAAAGGAGTATAAAGCATGGGCAGGAACCAACCCTGCTAGGCTGAGGAAATCACTCCTAAGAAGCACAATCAGAAAGGTAACATAAGAGATGCCCTGCTAAGGAGCAAGGAGAATTGTAACAGCATCCATGTGCTGGGTAAGTGCTATTTTCCACTGTCTAGTACACATAATTCTCTTTCTAAAGCACATGGGTTTCCTCTTGGGTCAGTACTATTCCTTCATGGTGGAAATTTAACTCTAAATCTTTCCTGAAGCATATAAACAGGCTCCCGCTCCAGCCTGGAGCCCCAAAAAGGTCAGCCATCAGAGGAAAGATGCTAGCTTGTCCTGAGTAGACACGTAAAACAAGGGCTCGAGAAATGCCACAAACACTAGTGCACTTTTTTTTTTTTTAAGACCTCTTGGCTGAATCTGAGAGCCCCATCAGACTTAACTATGTTGTTCTTAGCATGTGTTAACTACTGCTAATATGACTTATCAAAAAAAAAAAAAAAAAACCACACACACAAACAAGAAATGAAGGTTGGAAGAGTGGAAATCCAACATAAACACTAAATGTGAGTAGAAAGGAGTGGGGCTGTAAGTAACATGGAAAACAAAAGGCAAACACAACCAAGCATTATTACCTTTAGTAAAGAACTTAACTAAAGAACACTAAGTTAAAAAAGCACCCCTTGCAAAATGCACATCTACACTAAGTCACCATGCTACCAGACAGGAGTCTGGTCTTTCCAGCTCCTTCCATTTCACACCTTTTCTTGCCTTTCTTATTAGCAGAAAAACTGACAAGTGACTGCACACCTAGCAGGGGGAAAAGGTTTTTCTTTCCAGCTTAAATGACAACTGATACAAATTTAGAAACCATTGCTAAGTAAATCTTCAGGTAGTATTAACATTTCAGCAAAAGTTCACATAAAATAAAACCTCAGATCTAATTCTCTCTTCATCCTCCTTTACTCTCCACTTCTTAATGGTAATGTCAGCTTAGGAAAATCCTGTTGGCATTTCTACTTACAGATGGAACCAATAATAAATAATACATGCATCTTTTCCCAAACAGCTTGTTTGAAATGTTAAATGTTAACATTAGATAAAGCCACAAGCTGGGCAAGAAAAACAATGATTTCATTTATTCCTCCCAATGAAATTTCTAAGCTTCCTGTAATCTTATATATAAGATGTCTGTTGTGGGAGGCAAAAATGTAACATGAGCCCCAGCGGCCCTCGCCATGAAAAAAGCCTGCTCCTCTGGGAGTGGGTATACAAGATACAACAAAGATATATGGCCAAGAAAGTATGCACTGGATGGTTTTACTGAATAAGCTCAGACCTAAAAATCAAGCAAACAGACGAGAAAAACCTCAGTGTTTTCTCCAGCTGGTCACTAGAGGAGCAGAGACATGGTCAAGCTGGCCTGGAAGAAAACAAATATCCATCTGTGAACTGCCAACTAGGGCTGCAAATCACATAAGTGACTGCCAGCAGCATTTATGACTGGCAATACTCCCTACCCATCTGCTAGAAGAATAATAGGGCAAAAGGACTTCTACAAACTAAATAAATACCCTCTGTCAACAACCCTTAAGCTGCAGAAAGTCCTGGGGCTCAGATACCTGGGGCTCAACTGATACCTCAATTTTAGATCAAGAAGAAAGCAACAATGCTATGTACCAACACACAAAATTAAGTTAATGAGTGAATGTGGTTTGAAGCAGCTGCATTTAGTAATTTGTTACTGCAGCAAAAGAAACAAACACAGCTATCAAGTTTCTCAAAATTTACCAGAGCAACTCATGTGGAAATAGCAGTTCTTATCTCAGAGGAAGACTGGGGTCTGTTTAACATAAAGGAAATGGCAAAAGAACTTCAGCTGCATAAGTAGGAATGAGAGAAAATTCTCCTTTTAGACAAGGACAGGTTTAAAAACAAAAATAAAAGCTCTCCTCAAGTACAAATAGAAAAAGAAAAGCGCTGAGCCGAACTCCTAGAATCCAGTTGTAAAGAGGGAGGAGTAATGAGCAAAGAGGTCAAGATCATGCTGGGGAAACCCACAGATACAGGTGACCTGAGCAAGTGAGTGCATCAGTTTGACAGCAGGGGAATCAGCAAGGACTGAACCAGGCCACCAAAACATGGGTGTCTGTTGAGGCCCTAGGCAGTCTATGAAATCTCTGGCAGTGGAACCAGTATTTATCCCTAGTGCATGAATGGGCTCTAGGAGCCCATTCCCTATGGAGGGGCACTCTCTCAGCCTAGATACATGGAGGAGGGCCTAGGCCCTTCCCCAAATGATGTGACAGACTTTGATGATGCCCCATGGGAGGTCTCACCCTCCCTAGGGAGTGGATGGGGATAGAATGGGAGAAGGTGGGGGGGGGGGGCATGGGAAGATGGGAAGGAGAGGGAACTGGGATTGGAATGTAAAATAAGATTGTTTTTAATTTAAATAAAAATGTATTTAAAAAAAAAAGACAGATTGTGAGGCAATAATACCTTTGCTGGCAGTTTTAATAGAGGTTAGAAAAAACCAGGTGTAGGTTCTTTGGTGTCTGCAGCTCTTGGTGCTCATCACTCTTAGCACTACTGGTTCTTAGTGCTACCCACTCAACTGTAGGCCCTCTGCTCAAGTCAATGCCATTACCAGGGCTTCACTAGGCCACCACAGGGACAGAGCTCCCAAGCTGGCTGGTTAAGATATAAGAAATGAAGTTTATAAATCAAAGAGGCCAATTTAGATCAGCAGTTCTCAACCTGAGGACCATGACCCCTTCGGGAGTGAATGACCCTTTCATAGGGGTCATATACCAGAAAAGAAAAGGAAAGGAAAAAAAAAAAAAAATTAGCCTCCCTATTGCCCAAGATGGCATTATTTCCTAGCAGGTGTCAG